AGTTTCGCGACAGAACCGGCAACGCTGAATAACGTAAAAGTGAAATTTACGTTAAAGCGATATTTAGCCTTAGTGATCTAAACGAGAATTGAAGATCTCGTTGTTAGTATCAAAGCGATAAAAAGTTAGGCGAGAACGGACGTCAAACGAAGAAGTTATGAATTTATAACGAAATTTTCTGTCCCGGCCTATTAAAAATAAATAATAAAAATAAAGTCAAAATTAGCCGACGGAGTCTAAACGAAAGTTGTAGAGCGTAGTCTCACCTTTCCGTGGATATAAAGAACGTCGAAAACGGAGTTCGTATGAAGAAGATATGAATTTCCGAAGTTTGATAAATAATTTGTATTTATTTTTAAATCAAAATCGGCATTATCCGAAGGGGGAGTCACAGATCTGATCCGAGGTACGCGCCGCGTACTCAAGTACGCCCCGCGTACAACCAAAGTGTCGACACTTCGGATGACGCATTTCGGAAGCAGTACGCGCTGCGTACTGCTGTACGCCCCGCGTACGAGGGGGTTCCAGCCTCCTATAAATAGGATGCGAGGGGTCCGGGTTTAATTGCTAATTTCCTCTCGTTTTTGTGCCGAAGCTCTGCGTTTTTACCCCCGAAGCCATCCCGAAGCCCCGGTAATATTCCCGAGTCCCGAAGCGAGTCCCGAGATCCCGAAGATCCCGAGAAGTGCGGTTTCCGAGCCGAAGCTCTGCCCGCGAGAAGTTCGATTTTCGTAGAGATCTTCCAGATCTGCTGAGGATTACGACTTCTGCAAGCCGTAGTGCTGTCCGATCATCTTCTGATCAAGTGAGTGTATACTACCTTTCATAAACGCAATAATAATACAAGTATGGTTTGAGTGTATTAAGTTTATTGTCGTTTATACGTGTGAAGCGTTGTTACTTTCTCCTAACGTATAACTATGAAGTATTTTATACGAGATACGTGTTATGTGTATATTTTGTTGTTATGTGTGTGAATGTATATTCACTTTCTTCTATCTTACAGATATGATTATTTCTATATGAAATACGTGTTATGTGTGTGTGCCTCATCTGTTATATGGAAAATGTATTGATCAAGCATGCTATACAGGTTTTGAAAATATGTATAAAAATGTATGTTTTTATCTACTAATATGTTGGGTAGAACATGGGTAGATAGTTGGTGTGTAATAAACAGATGAGAGGCCTCGTTGTTGTTTGATCCAGTCATCTAGCGGAATTTAGATGACGACCACGGACTTTTCTAGACAGTCCAGTGGAACGCTAGCAGGCTCATAACCTGTAGGTGTTAATGAACTTGGGTGTTCATTCGTGTATTCCATCCCCCTCATGGTTGCCTTATTTGACTTATATTGCTGAGGAAACCCCGCAGCATGTGTTGTCACCCCGATGAAAATATTCTTAGATTAGGTCCCTTGTGTTAGTTATTTTAGGGACGTAAAGTGAGAATAACGGGAATGGGTAACTGGGTTATTGTTGGTTGATAATAATTAATTTAATTATTTATTGTGGGTTGAAAACCCTATATGCTCACCAGGCTCCCAAGCCTGACCCACTCAGTTTTATTTGTATTACAGGAAGTGGCGCAAGGGCGTAAGATGGATGAACCATCAAGTTGTTTTGTTTACAAGTCTGTATATGTATATATTTGTTGAATGACTTGTAATATTATCGTTTATGCTTATTGGTCTATATCGGAACATGACACCCCGAGTTTTGATTATAATGAAAATACATTTCTTTTATGAAATGCTTTGGTAAACATTGTTTTATCATGTTTTGTTTTTGGGAACAAATTCCGCAACTCTTTCAAATCAAAAGGATTTACTCTGAAAATATTTAAAAGCATAAATGAAAATCGGTCTTTTCTGGCCGAGATTTTGGGGATGTCACAGAATTCAAATAAAGAAAAGAGTTAGGTCAAAACAATAACCCCTTAATAACAGGGAAGATATGAGATTGATTGACTTCTTCAAACCGAATAAGATCTGATTTGCCATTTATGCATAAACTTGTTGTATATGATGTTTTAAATCTTGTACCTCTTAAAATTCAGCATTTTAGTCTAAATGTTTATTAAGGTGTGTGTGTGTGTGTGTATATATATATATATATATATATATATATATATATATATATATATATATAAACCGGTTCTGACGAGTACCCATCAGGTAACGGTTCTGAGAAAATGAGAATCGGAACCAGAACCGCTTAAGGCGGTTCCAAAAAATTAGGAATCGGAACCGGAACTGCTAAGGTAGTTCTGTTTACGAAATCGCAGAGGTGGTTCCGATTATGGAACCGACGGTTTTAAGACAGTTTCAGTTCTTAAAACAGGTACTCTGTTCCGCTGCTCACCCTACAACTAGGAGTACTTTGTACCAATAAAAGTTAGAATCCTTTCAACCTTTTCTTTTATATTAAAGATTGAATATTTTAATTATCAATAAATCGTTGTGTTAATATTTTAATAGTAAAAATCATTTCAATATTTGATCGTTTAAAAATGACATTTTTGTATGAATCTAAGTTTTTTCCATTTAATGAAATACAGGAAAGGTCTGTGCATTACATCAAATTGCTAAAAATTCAATCATAAAAAGAATTTATGTTTTGAACGGTTAATTATAATTAGTGGTTATATATATATATATATATATATATATATATATATATATATATATATATATATATATATATATAGAGAGAGAGAGAGAGAGAGAGGGGTTCAATAAAAAATACATAATCAGACTAATATATGTTAAAACCAACAATCAAGTAATACGTGTTCATTTCTTTATTCGTAAGTAATGTATTCTATAAGTTATTTATATAGTTTATCTAAGGTAATGTATTTTCATGTTTTCATCCGGATCCAGCATGTATTGCCCTAAACATGCATTTTCTCTCTCTTTCTCTTTCTCTCTCTCTCTCTCTCTCTCTCTCTCTATATATATATATATATATAATATATATATATATATATATATATATATATATATATATATATATATATATATAATATATATATATATATATATATAAAGTGAAGATGCTATTTTTATGTTATTAATTTAATTTGGTATAAATTTTGGATGTCTAGTATTGTACGATGTGAATATTAATAAATGATTTATCATTTCTTTATTGTGGAATAAGAATTTATAGTAGAATAATAAGATTAAATTACTGTTTTTCTTTTATTTAGTGTCTTTATTTGAATATATATATATATATATATATATATATATATATATATATATATATATATATATATATATATGTGTGCGTGTTAAAATTGAGTAGTCTAACCATAATTTAATATGTATTTGGTTAAAATAACTAAAAAAATTATTTTTTTATAATTAACATTTAGTCCGGAACAAATATTCCAAACTAAAAAAACATTTTTTCTATCAAAAAGATATATTGGACTAACATTTTGGAATTCCGGATGAATATATTGGATTCCGGACAAAAATTTCGTAGTGCGAAAAAAGAACTCTGAAATTTTAACAAACCGAGTCTGAAATAAGATTAAAAGATCCGAAATTTTCCGGAAAAGAAATTCATTTTTTATTTATATCTAAGGAAAATGTAAACAAATATTGTAAATATGAACTATATACAATATTATGCCATAAAATCATACATTTGATTGGAAAACTTAGCTGAGACTAAGGTATGAATAGTTGGTCACTTAACCCACTTAAATTTAATGTTTTTTACAAACTAGTTATATATAAAAAATATATTTAGGATTCACCTTAAATATTTTGAAGGTCATATCTTAATATGTTTGGCAAATATATATATATATATATATATATATATATATATATATATATATATATATATATATATATATATATATATTTGTCAAACATATTAAGATATGACCTTCAAAATATTTAAGGTGAATCCTAAATATATTTTTTATATATAACTAGTTTGTAAAAAACATTAAATTTAAGTGGGTTAAGTATATAAACTATAGACAATAGAAGATAATTATATTTTATGGCATGAAGGAGTCGCAGTGACTCAAATAAGAAAACGGTGTAAAGGTTTTTCATTGTAAATAAATGTTTTCTCTTGCACACTTTCCCGCTTTAAGCTTGTTGAGACATGGTTTAGACCAACTTATTCAATGTATAAGTTGATTTTAGTAAAAATAAAATAAAAATTAAGGATTAATGGATTTTGGTTCAGTTCTTTCACCACAATTTGTATACATGTTTCACCATTTTTTTAGTTGAACCAACCAAGGTAAACCCGGTTTTCTATTGAAACAGACTGGTTGAACTCGGTTGGGATACCACGTTGTTTTCTATTTTAAATTTGTCACTGTTGAAAAACGAATACATTAAACACTTCGAAATGGATATTTCGGACATAAGGAGATTTATTTGGAAAAACATGGAAAATAACCAAAAAAAGAACTCAAAAATTTAAAAATTAAATCCGAAATGACATTCGAGAGTTAGTTTATTCAATTTCCCTATTCTCCTTAATAAATGAAGGTTTTTTGCCACTTGTCAATCTCTCATTAGTTTTGACACTTGTCATTTTATGGTAATTTTGAAATAAATATTATCTATTTGTCAATTTTTGGTTTGTTTTAATTTTTAATTAAAGTAATATATTTATATATGTAAAGTAATAAATACCATATATATAATATTAAATTGTAATAAATACGTTTCTTTATTTCTTATTTTAAAGTTGTACATTAAAAATTATTTTATTTTTATACTTTAAGTTTAATTATTTTTTAAATCAACCCGTATAATATACGGATCTCACATCTAGTAAATATCAATTAAGACATGAAAGGGAGATTTAAAAAACTTGTCCATGGTATATTTATATGATAACGCTTAGGACATAACGTCCCTTTTATTATATATTACATGCCATTACAAATTTACAACACAAGTAGTGTATCAAACATTCAAAGCTACAACCATTCATGATCATGGGCATTAAAGTGATTATGCCTTCTTGAACATGACCTTAAGAGGCACGTTATTTAAAACAAGGATTCTACGTCCATTTTTAGCAATCGTAGAGCCAATATCAGCACAATATGGCCTGCAATCATTGCACACCGTGGGGCAGTAAACCAGCTTGTAAGCGTTCTCATACTTCTCGATCTTGAACCAGTTCCTTATAGTTTCCCTGCCTGGCTGTCCTAGGATCGCATGGCTTGACACGATCCGTAACCCAATATCAAGATCGTCCTCGACCCGCCAAACTGCAGTATCAATACAAGTAGTCGCCTTACCGGAGAACTTAACGTTAAGATCAGTGGATTGGCGGATGATGCCGTCTTTGCTGGTGTTTGCAGGTGCAAAATTCAAGGGTAACCCTTTGCTCACTTCGTTGTTTTCTTGCGCTACATCATTGGGGCACGGCTGATCTCTTCCGGTGGCTAGGGTTACACCGCCTCCTCTGCCACGGATAGCTGGCAAGATGTAGTAGCTGGTGCCAGCTAAGAGGAAGTTCCGGTGAGTGTCGCGGACGGGAACCTGCAGGGCTTGGCCTGAGAGAAGTGACAGTGTGTACATGATAATGAAGATAAACAACGGTTTCTTCATTTTTTTATTTATTGATTTTGATGGGTTTTGGTGGTGATATCTATGACACGGGAGAGATGTATTTATATTCAGATGGCACGAAAAGATAATTATGAATGATATGATGTTAATGTTATGCGTCGGTATTTCTTGAGTTCGTACCCATGTATGTCGTATATCACAAGCCATTGCTAAATGTAGAATAGTTTGTTATAGACAGATAATGTTTTTTTTTTTTTTGGATAAAATGAATGATTTAAAAAGATTCAAATGAATATAGAGTGCTTCGTTGCGTTATAATTTCATAATTAACGGATTTAATATGGACGGATTTGTGGGTGTCGAGTTTAGAATATAAAACTACATGGATCACTATTTAAATTAAACCAATATAAAATGAAAAAATCAAACAATACTAATTGTGGGTTCGGATCGAATCGAGTTGTATAAACCAAAAAAAGATTTAAAGTTCTTACAATAGTACCAGATGAGGAGCGTTGCGTCTAATGATGATTCTCGATTATGTAGACAGAAGTTGGAATAGAGGAGTGAAGACGAAATGTCGTCCCCTAATGCCTACATATGTTCACATGACTTTGGCTTCTTTTTTCTTTTAAGTTGTATTGCCAATGTTTGCCAAAAATATTAGGGTAGTTCACTAAAAATATTTAGAATAGATCACCAATTTTAATTCTATGTACCTTCTCATAAAAACTAAAAAAATAGGTGGGTCAAGTGACCCACCAAAAACATACTTAACATCGTCATTGTTTTTCGTTGCCTTTCTGGCTCAAACAACCATTTGAGCATGGTAGGAGTAGTGGGGGGAGTGTCATGGTTTTCCTCTTCACCCATCGGTTATCCTTAGTTGATGCTTGAACAACGTTAGGGAGTGGTCCTAGTTGGAGGGCATGTACATGTTGCTCGTAAGGTAAACGATGAAAGGTATTTTTCCGGCTAGTGAATGCCCTAGTAAATAATATGTTGTTTTACAGAACCTATAACGTTCTAAAAACATAGTAAAATTTTTCATTTTTAAAAGAGAATAAACACTTGGTTTGATGCAGTTACATTCTGAGTCAAACAATAGTCCTTGCTTACTTGAGGATGGAATTTCCTTAGTCAAAAAATGCTAGTTGTGATAGATGGTAGCGCGTGACATTTGTATGAAAGATCATGGGGGTAGCCCATGACAATTGCATGAAAGACCATGGGGGTAGCCGATGACATTATTAGACCATGGGGGTAACCAAGGCATTTCAACGAAATACCTTGGGGTAACAGACCATAGATCCGAACAAATAATATCATATATGGAAACATATAACATTTAGCGCATAAAAGAATTTTAGGCAACTTTCCTAAAATATACTAGTGCTCGTGTCTTAAAATATGTTATACACTCATCTCACAATCATCGCTTAGCATTCTAAGTTTAAGTCTAGAAATCCTACAAATTCCTAGTTCGTTTAAACTAATGTTATGATACCAACTGTGACATCCCCAATTTCACGGCCAGAAAATACCGATTTGTTTATGCTTTTTTTTTTAAATCAGAGAAATCTTTTAAAGAAAAATGGTTGCGGATTTGTCCCCAAAACAAAATATGATAATGTGTCCCCAAAACAAAATATGATAAGAATTTATCTAAAGCATTTATTAAAGAAAATGTATTTTCATTAAATAATAAAACATCGGGATATCATGTTCCGATACAGACCAAAAGAATAAACAATACATTACAGACCTTACAACAGTTCTTTGTAACTATTGATCTATAATCCAAAATCTCTCGTCAAGTCCACCAATTCATACTCTTGTGCCATTACCTGTCATGCAAAGAAAACTGAGTGGGTCAAGCTTGGGAGCCTGGTGAGCATATAGGGTTTTCAACCCACAATAATATATTTATTATATTCAATTATCAAAACAATCAATCCAAATACCCATCCACATATCTCCTTTATTTTCTCAAGGGTTTACCCTAAGAACCAACTATCCTTCATTCATTCATTCCTAAGGATTTACCTAAGGAACTGGCACAAAGTCCATTTGCTACCACGGTTTATACAACAGGCACTACGTCACATAGTCATCAGGGTTCATACAATAGGCACTACGTCTCATAGTCACCAGGGTTTACACAACGGGCACGAAGTCACATTGTCACCAAGGTTTACACAACAGGCACAAAGTCACATCGTCGCCAAGGTTTACTCGATAGGCACTAAGTCATATAGTCGCCAGGGTTTACTCATTAGGTAAGAAGTCGCATCGTCACCAACTATTCCATCTACCCATGTTCTACACAACATTTTTGTAGATATAAATACAAACACAGTTTAAATCATTTAACACCCGTATAAAAACATCAATTCCAAACCCATCTCAAATAGACAAATAATATATAACATATAGCACGTATTTCATAGCTAATACTTTATATTTATGTGTTAGAAGAAAGTAACTATACACTCACCTGATTAGAAGATGATCAGACAACACTACGACTTGTAGAAGTAGTATTATTCAGTAGATCTGGAAGATCTTCACAAAAACCGGGTTTCTTGCGGGCATAGCTTTGGCTCGGGAATTTCACTTCTCGGGATCTTCAAGGTTTTGGGACTTGCTTCGGGTCTCGGGAATGATACAGGGGCTTCAGGATATTTCTTGCACGAAAAACGAAGTAAAACGAGAGAGAGAGAGAGAGAGAGAGAGAGAGGGGGGGGAGAGAGGAATTGAGCAAGGAACTCGGCTGCCCTCGCACGTTTTATATAGGGGAAGATTCTTCAAATTATGCTGGGAGTAACCGGTGACTCCCCCCCCCCCCCCCCGCGGATAATATCCAATTTTATATTTAAATTAAATACTTTAATTATTTAATAAATTCAAAATTTCATATCTTCCTCATACGAGCTCCGTTTTCGACGTTCTTTATATCCCCGTGTAGGTAAGACTACGATCTACAACTTTCGTTTACTCCATCGGCTAATTCTGAATTTATTTTTAATAGGCCGGGACAAGAAAACTCTGTTATAAATTCATAACTTCTTCATCCGACGTCCGTTTTCGTCAGTCTTTTTACCGTTGCACTACTATCAACAAGATCTTCGATTGTTTAGATTGTTTCGGCTAAAAGCCACTCGATCTCAAATCGAGTATTCGGGTTGCATACCGCTAAGTCGAAATTTAGAAAAATCATAACTTCCTCATACGAAATCAGATTTGGACATTCTTTTTATGCACGCTCATGGTTTAACGAACTCTACGAATTTCGTTTAGATCGCTAAGGCTAAATACCACTCTAACGTGAATTCACTTTTTACGTCATTGAGCGTCGTGCCAGTTCTGTCGCTAAACTTCGACAAGTCATAACTTCTTCGTTATAACTTGGATTTTGGCGTTCTTTATATGTACGGAATCCTTGTAACATATAATACAACTTAGTTAAGGTTATTCCTTCAAAATAATCTTCCATCAAAAAGTCATTTTTGATGCTTATTGTCCTTAAATTGACTAGCTCTAATCTACGGGGGTTACAATTGTCTCCCCTTAGGATAATTACATCCTGGAATCATCAAATAAATAGGATTCGTATACTGACTCCATACATTATCTCTCCATCCTAAGTAATAACCGTGATGCTCAATCTTTCATCTACTCTTCATACTATGTTGGACTTTCAATCGTAACCTTCAAGTTACAAAATAAATCCTTATTGTGTACTCATTCTTCTTTTTAGGATAAATACATTCCTTTATCTATTGTAACGGACCGATGGGTCGTGTCCCGATGACCTCTCACCGTAGTCGGACTCATTTTGATATGACCACTAGGGTCGGAATAACAACCATCTTACTAGTCATTACCGAAATAATAGTAACGACATACTTGAATAAAAACGAACTCAATTACACGCTTCTTGGTAACCTTGTGACTTTCCATGATCCAAGTACGAATCATGTGCTTCCGGTAATATAGATCTCTACTACTATTCACACCTACTCATACTCGTCTCAAGTATTGTCTCGCAGTTAACCAAGTCACCATACATAAATCATATAATCATTCAACACATCAGATAACAAAACCAAGGTTTATATTATTTCTTGAAACTATTACACAAAAGTTCAAGTTCACCATATACTATGCCCCTAACAAGCTATGCTTCTTGATACAGACTTTATATATTTTATATGAAGTCTTCATCTTTTAATCCTCCCATCGTTTTCTGCTTCGTCGAGGAGCATGTGGAATGCCCTTGGCTGTGGCGGTGCATTTTTCTTTGGGCAATGTCTAGAAACATGCCCTTCTTCATTACACCCGTAGCACACCTTTTTGTTGGATACACACTTATTGGCGTAATGCCCTGTCTTCCTACATTTATAGCAAGTCATTTCCTCGCTACACTTCCCGAAGTGTTTCTTTTTACACTTCTCACACCACTTAGCTTCATCTCTTCCTCCATATTTCGAGAATTTTGTTTCTTTGTTGATCATTAAAGATCCTTCATGTTTCCTTTTCTCTCCAACTTCAGCTCTCTCCATACCCTTTTATTTTATTTGGGTCTCAACATTTTTGGTTGCCCAGATGGCGGCTTTCAGAGTGATTGCTTGCTTCACTATCGGACCAAAGTCCACTGGTAATCCATTGGCAAACTTGTTGACCTCGGAAAGTTCAGCTGGAATTAGGTATGGAATAAGCTTCATCTTCTCCGTAATGCTTGTAGCTTATTTAGTGACTGGTTCAGGTGTTGTTGCTACAACAGCCACTCGCTCAACTAAAGGTGGTTGATTCCTGTTTTCGTTCACGTTTCCAGCTCCACTCCTGGTTCTTGCCATTTTTTATCTAGACACCGAATAAGGTGAATTTAGATATTTATTCGAGGTAGATATTCAAATCATCTTTATCACTCCGAAACGTTTACATGCTAGTTCTAATATCGTAGATGCACGCTTAGAATCCTAAACACATAAGGTTTCCCGATCCGA